CGATTGGTATGTTTCATTTGGTGATATATATTTTACTGGGTGTGGGACTGTTTTTACTTCACAGCTATTGAAATAGTTTAAATTGTTATTGTTTGTGGTTGTATTTGGAGTAAATGTTTCTTGGAAATGTTCTGCTAGTATTTCACATTTTTCCTTTGTTGTTGTAGCTGTTTTATCTAATTTCTTTAGTTCTGGTATGATTGTTGGTTCTTTCAATATTTGTTTTGTAACCTGCTATAAATTGCTGTCTTTAGAATTTATTTTTTTAATGTAATTTTTATATTGTTGGATTCTGTGCTCGTCAAAAACTAGTTTTACATGGTGTGTTAGTTTATTTAGTAGTTTCTTTAAGTCTGGGCTTCTATATTGCTACCATTGCCTGCGTATTTTGTGTTTCTTTTGAATTAATTTTTCAATGCCGATAGGTATTGTATGTTGTGTATATTTTGGTTTATAATTGGGGTTAGTATTTGCTTCTTTTGCTGCTTTTTGTATGATTTTAGTGAAGGTATCTACGGCAATATCAAATTCTTCTTTGTTTTTCATGAATCGGATTGTGGGAAGAGAATTATCGACGTTTGTTTGAAATTTTATCCAATCTATGTTTTTGTGTCTAAGCCAAATGGCAACTCAGTTTTAATATAGTTCATATCAGAAGTGAGAATAACAGGACAGTGGTGAGAGTCTAATTCAGGTAACACATGAGCATAGAGGGTAGGTTTTAAATTTTTAGAAATGGTAATGTCAAGGATATCTGGTTCAGCATTACAGTTTTTAGGGTAGTGAGTAGGGTTTGTTGGAGCTATGATTTGAAAGTGTAATGTTGATGATGCTTTTAGTAATTTTCTCCCATTAGGTGTATTCACTTTACAGCCCCAATTGATATGTTTGCTGTATGGATCTCCCATTAAAATTGTAGGTTCTGTATTATGTAGTATTAGCTTTAATTCATTTATATTGATTTGTCTTTTTGGTGGTTTATATGCTGTTATGATATTTAAATATTCCTTTTTTAAAGTTATTTTTAGTGCAATAAGCTCTAGGTTGTTCGATTTTGGAATAGAAATTAATGAGTGGTCTCATTTCGTTTTGATTAGTATTGCTACCCCTCCCTTAAGGAAATATGATCCTACTAGCCTGAAATAGCATAAGCCTATTGGACATCTTAAAAATACGAAAAAAAATCTATTTTGGGGTTTATTAATGTTCCCGGGCACATCATCCTATTAGTATCGTTAGTGTAGTGAAAGTTTTTATGCATGAAGGTGACGATATTCCTTCCCACTGGATGCTGAAATTTAGCGCCGTGCTACATGTCGGCTAGTGGGATAATTCCCTTTCCAGAGATCTCCCCCACCGGAGCTCCGCCCGAGCTGGGACGAGCACACAGGAGGATGGGGCAAGGAAGAGCAGAGCAAGTTCGCGCATGGACTTTGTTAGATCTCTGCTCCGTCCTTCACTTGGTATTAAGTGGAGAAACCATGGAAAATTACCTAACAAAGCAGCCGACCGATACGATTTTCCTCCAGGCAGCGGCTGAATTCCACCTAGCTATGGGGCATGTGCCGTATGTGAACTGCAGGTCAGTCTAAAATATCTTTCTAAGGATACGAGTCACTACAAACACAAATGGAGGGATCGATTTAAGAGTATGGTGTTCTTGAGGTGATAAAGATACATTTTTACCCGTACAATAAGAAGAAAAAGTAAAAATGCCCAACAACGCAGACTATGTCGGAGGAGCACTAAAGAACAAGTTTCAAAGCCTTCAATTCAAACCCCAACAACAGTAAAATAATTTTAACACGAAGAAGATCCAATAACGGCCAAAACTTTGGCGACTTCATTTATTATGTATTGGTTTTATTTAGTATTCAGAACTCAACCAGAATATATATCTTATCTTATCTCATTTATGTGCCGTTCACTTACGTATTCGGATTATATTAAACGGCTCATTATTATATCCATATAATAAAGCTTCCTGCTGAGATACAATTGCTCTTTTATACATGTGACGTAATAAAAGGTACAGCCGAAGTCAATATAATACAATTAATCTAATAGGCCTAAGTCAAAAAATGTGTGAAAATGTTAAAAAACCCATGGGGTAAGATAAAATGTGAATGCCATGTGGCTAAAACCCCATTAGTCATTAGTCTTACAGTCGAAGTCAATATAATACAATTATTCTAATAGGCCTAAGTCAAAAAATGTGTGAAGATGTTAAAAAGGCGATGGGGTAAGATAAAATGTGAATAGCATGTGGCTAAAACACCATTACGTGCTCGTTAGCAACTATACTCTCGCGCCACTGCGCTTGTGAATGATCCCCTAACTTGCACATAATTGTTTATTGATGATCGACTGTGAGTGATTCCGGGCGCGTCAACTGCCAAGGTCATTAGTACCGTAAGTGTAGTGCACGATTTTGATCAACAAGTGCTGGGTAGCGAGATCCGGCACCGACCGTCCGTTGGCTAGCGGGGTTTTCGTCTTCCAGGTATCTGCCACGGACCGGACACCGCCCCAACCGGAACAAGTTCCGACCGGTCTCCCGGCGTGTGTGGTAGTCTTGTGCATGTTAGTGTGTGTAGGGAATGAGAATAGATAAGGAAAAGGAAAGAAAGATCGGACGCGATCTGTAGCCCGTTGTTTGGGTATTTGCTCCGGTATTTGCCTGGTGTTGATCGACGAAACCACGGAAAACTACCGATCAGAGCAGCCGGCCGCTAGAATTCTCTTCCACATTGCGACGGAATTCGAAGTAGCAGACAAGCTACTGTCGTAAGTTCTGCCACCGCCGGGACTCGAATCTAGATCTAATGGTCTTTTAGACACTTGCAAGATAAATATCCATTCTCCGCCGGAGGGATATAGTGGTTCCCAATCGAAAGTCCGGCAGCGCGACAGGTCGTTGGCAGCGCTTTGGCCGTCGGCAGTCTCTGGCTTCGAACCCCCCCCCCCCGCACAGCTGCCTAGATTTCACGCGGCGCGACCGGAAATCGAGGCAGACCTCGGAATGAATTCGGTCGGAGACGGTGGAAAGCATCATCTCTGGATATATGAATTGATGAGAGTGAATATCGAACGCCAGTTTGAGATAGGTATGCTCGTAAACTGGTATCGCATTACGTTTTTACCGTGTAATTTATATGCGCGAATTATAGGCCTGTCTTCCGGCCGTCTTCGTCGGTATGGAAAAATGACCTTGGTTATTGATTAATATGGGCGAGTTGTATAGGAGGAAGCTGAATGACTTTGCATGTGTGCGTGTATGAATGAGAGAGGGATCTTGTTGGTTCGGAACCAAAATGAACCACTTCTTATCGCATTAAATACCTTAACAATAGAAAATACATTTTAGTGGATAATTAAATCAGGTTTTGGTGTGGTCGTTTTATGTAGACTTAATGTTGTATTCAATCACGAAAGGATATAAGCCGGTTTTGTGGGAACTGAGAAATTTTCACACAAACTATTGAACTATAAAACTTTTTAAATTATGTATCTAGTAAATTCATGTATTTTTAATATCCTCATAATACAGAATGCAACATTTCTGGTGAATAAAAATACCAGAACGTTCTGCACAATGTGATGAACAAACCTTATTTATTTCATTCTGCTATAGAGTTACAGAACATTAGGTTGTCGACGATTTCTTGTTTCAGAACCTTCAAAAGTTTGTGGTAATGGTGAGCCGCTAAGCACACCCGAAAAAATACACTTTATAGAATGCAAACTAATACACATCTAAATTTGTTAATTGATACAAATGAGGCAGAAATAACCACCGCCTGTATCGGGATGACCGCTCATGGCCTAGTCGGATGCAGCTCAGACGCACTGCACTATGTGATCCCAGTGAGATTGATTAACTGATTGATACTTTTGTGTTTCTGATTGCATCAACTGATGTAATAATTGTTCTCGTAAGTGTAGTAAATGGTTTTGTTCTTCCGCTGCTGAGAGAGAGATCCGGCGCCGATCTACACGTTGGATTACGGGGTTTGCCCCTTCCCACTAGCGGGGACCCGCCCTAGCCGGCACAAGCTGGAAGCTCCAGTCGGGTCTCCTGACATGCATGACACATACCAATGAGCAAATAAGGGAGAGGATGAGACAAGAAAGATACAGGAAAATTCACGCGTGGTTCGTGGCTCGGATTCGTGGTTCGTGGCTCGGATTGGCTTTGTGTTCGTCGAAGAAACCACGGAAAACTACCGACATAAGGAGCCGTTCTATTGAATTCCAGGCATAATCCTACGCACTACCAGGCATCCCGATTCAAGGCACCGCTGTAACATCAGTTACCCTGAGCCATCTCAGCATGCTGGTGATGTAATGCTGTGCCAAAGTTCGAAAGTGTGCTGAAAGCGACCAACCGCCAGGAGGATCGTCCAGGCGGGAGCACCTAGGAAACTTTCTGTTCGAATAGATCCACAGACCTCATTTTCATTCTAACCTCTGTCATTTCGAAAATTCAAAAAATGCAACTGTATACTTGATGCGTCGGGTCAGTGAATGTACCTTATCAGCAGTAGTATATGAATAAGATCGTTGATAGCGGTGTCTATGCGCTCGAGTTCCAATTCTAGTCCGGGTAAATATTTTTGCGTGTTGAAAACTCTCATTAAGGTTAATCAACGGAGTCTCAAGGTGAAGTAAGGAATCACTGGATGCGATAACAAACACAATCAATTTAATATGTATGAGGTTGTCTCACGGGTTCAATAAGTATTATAATATTACCTAATCGTTACAAATCATATGAGAAACTTTGAGCTGAAATACTACAGCTAGATTTGTTAGATTTCTAATATTCAACTATTTATCTCAAATTTGTGCTTTTGTGCAATCAATTCCCTTCTTCAAAAAAATCCACACTTTTTACGATGGTTAGGTTTTCAGTATCTTTGCCAGTGGAAAAGACAAGCTTGCAGAACGAAATATTTTTTCTACGTGATACGCGAAAACAACTTCTATTTCGATCTTACCTCGGAGTTGCCGCCGGATCTTCTTGTTGGGATCCAGCCAATGCTGTAACAGAAAATGGTGCCGTTTATTACCGTTAGTAGATATAATATTGCGAAAATACTTCTTTGAAAACCTAACTAGTATGGATACCAACATCAGTACAAAACGAGTGGCCTGTAGCAACATGAATGCTGCTGAACAATACCACAAAATATACCTCCTATAAGATTTGATGCAATATAGAAAAATAAGATAAAAATAAATAAAGTGCATTTGACATTAAACTCACATTTTTTAATAATTTTAATAATTAAAACTTGTTTATTATATTCACATTTATTTTGATCACACCTCATTTAATATATTACATGTCAAACACTCGAGAAAGAATACTAGTAATGTGAAATAGTGATTGATGTAACACACACGAGTAAAAATATTTTTCAATACAGATTCTTCATGCTATAGTTTCCTTTCTATTCGTCCTTCGTCGGGATCTAGGCGGCATAGAGGGGGGAAGCTAGCGGCTGTCTCTCCATCTCTGGATGCGCAGGTGCGAATCCCAATCGATCCAGGAGAAATGGATGGTGAACAAAGCGGGTTTGCAGTACGAGTTCTGTGAATTCTCCCGTTTCCCTTATAACACATTCCACTATTACTCATCTTCATTAATGGATCTTCCTAATCACCCACCCACCAATTTCAGCTATGGATACAGCTTGGATATTGGAGACATAATAAAGATGTACACTATCACATTATGATTTATATCTATTGATACTGGTAGTATTGTGAACGAAAATATTTTCGTGTTTGGAAGTGAGGAAAATATGGTGACATCCCTTACTCGACCCCTCGTTCCCAAATCATTGCCCATTAACACACTTCTTTTTTGAAGAAGGAGTAAGTTAACAAAATGGTGTGGTTAGAAAATTCTAGATGAAATGACAGAAAAATTATAGTTCCGTCAATGGGATTGACATTTACGAATTAATTGCCATCATTGCGTGATTTTCAATTAAATGCACCTTCTGTTAACCTTTACTTATGTATTTTTTTAAAATTCAATACAGAAATAAATAGGTTCTTTAACTGAAATTAAATGTTCGAACGGTTTTTACTTTAATTTCACTTAGTGTTTTTAGTGAATTTCGTGGCCTTATAATAGGCAAAATATAGTAATCTAGTTGTATTTATTAGTTTGCAGCTTAGATCTATTACTTTAAGCACATTGAAATTGTTTCGCATTGAATTAATCAATCACATTTAAAACTAATTAGAATCACATACCTATTATTTTCCAAACCAATACGTAACTTAAATTAAATAATTTAATACACTTAAATTAAAAGGATATTCGTTTACAAGATACTTTCTACATTAGTTCGATTCCTTATCTATTTATTTATTCTCATATTCACCACGCACGTTGATTCGCCTTCGTGATAGGCTACTATTCGCTCTACACTTACCTACTCTACCTTACCTACACTACCTACTCTGTACACTCTCAAAGTTGGCCTTTACGCAATACTAATTCTTGCATCACACAAGGAATTAGAATATCGTGTAAAAACAAACGTACGCTTTACTTTACTACTACTTTATTTCTAAACGTCATCACGGTTTCCATGTCTACTTCCGAGAATACAAAAGAGTTTTAAGGAAAGTAATTGTTCAGGCCAAAATAATGATCATAGTAATAATTGCGGGCCAATTTCTCTTTTGTCAGTTTTCTCAAAAATATTAGAGAGTATTTTGTATACGCGAATAGACACTTTTCTAAGGAAAAACTAAGCGTTTTCAGACTCACAACACGGGTCTAGAAAATCAAAATCAACGGAAAATGCCATCTTTTTCTTTTCATAAAGATGTTGCTTTATCAATGGGCCAATCTGAAGCCTTTGAAGTTTTTGACTATAACATATTCTATCAAAATTACCTTCTTAGGAAATCGTGGTATCGTCTTAGATTGGATAAACTCGTACCTTTAACATCGATCTCAAAGAGTAGAAATACCGGACTGGCAAGAAGGAACATTACTTATCTTTCCAATTCATTACCAATTGAATATGGGCCCCGCAATGTTCGATCTTAGGCCCTATTTTCTTTTTGTTAGGCCCTATTTCGTTTTCGTTTTGTTCGTGTATTGAAAACGGAAGAATGGTTCTGTTTGCCGATAACACGAATGTTCTTTGCAAAAAAGAAACAATAAATTGTACGATTTTAGAAGTTTCAAATTGGTTTTGTAATAACAAATTAATAGTTAATGAAGGAAAGACAGTTTCAATTCATTTTTGCATTTCAAATCAGCAATCGCATTCTGCAATGAAAATGAATAATTTGCAATTAGCTGATGTTCAGGTAACAAAATTTCTAGGTCTGTCAGTTCAGTGAAACCTCAAATGGAATGAGCATATAACAACATTAAACACTAAATTAAGTTCATTTTGTTACGCATTCAGAATTCTTTCAAATGCTGTCAGCCTTCATGCAGCTCGTGGCGTGTACTTTGCAAATGTACATTCCCGGCTGAGATATGGTATAAAGTTCTGGGGAAACTCATCATTCACACTCAGACCTTTAGATTGCAAAAGAAAATTATTCGAATAATGAAAAAATGCCATCCGCGTTACCCTTGCAAGCCTCTCTTCATTGAGCTTGGAATCTTACCACTGCCTTGCCAATATATTTACGAATCTGTAATATTTCTCGAAAGTGTCTTACTTAACGGTGGTATCATATTTTCATAATATTTTTAATTACAACACACGTCGTAAAAATCATGTTCATCAAGTGTCAGTATCAGCTCACTATCAGTAATCCACATACATGTAAGTCACTTTACAACGCACTGCTAGATGACATTAAACAATTGATGTCGGTACACAAATTTAAGTTAAAAGTGAAATATTTTCTTCTGCATAACTGTTTCTCTTCAATTAGAGTCTACACTGATCATCAAAAAGAAAAATAAATAAATTATTTTAAGAAAGGAATGATACATAATGCATTAGTTTACATTTCCATTGCATATATTTTGTTAAAAAGACATAATACGCTTGTACAAGTAATGTTCGGCTTCCGCGTCAATGATCATCTCGATTTGGTTTTTCCAGTTGCCCTGCTCCATTGAGCAAATGATGAGATGGCCCCTTGTTTTGCTTCTGGACGCAAATGTAGCTTCAGTATGCTCACTTTTTTTTTACTTACCTTTTGCTTGTGGTGGTAGAAGTAGAGTAAGGGTGAGTTACTATTTTGTTAGCGATGCAGAAAAATCAAATCTGCATTTCGTTTACAGTTGCAACTAAGTTTTTTATATCTTGGGAACGAAAATGTCTATTTGTTCAAATGTTGCTAATTTAGCGCTTTTCTAAATTTTACTTTTATTTATTTATTTTTAAGTTTTACTCATCCTTCAACTATTTATAACTAAAATGACGGAAAGGGACTCTGGAAGTCAAGAAAACGTGCGCGGATGATCTCCCCATTCGCCACATAGAGTTTCTTCTGTTTTGTTTTGTTTTTTGACTAAATAAATGTGCGGTTATTCTGTGCAGAAACGCAGAATAAAAATATACTTATATTATATTTTAATACAAATACAAAAATAATACATATATTACATTCTATGAAAAAGTAATTAGTTTGGAAAAGAAATAGCGAATGAAATGTAGCATTTAAATAATAGAATTAATAATCAATGTGGTCTTCCCGGATTTGAGCACATATAGAAGACTTTTCTCATATAGAACTGACAACATACTGTATGAACTTCCAGACAATGCTGTTTCAATATTTCCTGTACCTCATATAAACTTTACCATCGATACCGATACGGTCAATTTAATAAAAAATGTATTGTTACTTCAAACGCAAAGATCTCGACTTTTCTAACCACATCTTCCAAATGTGGGCTACTAATGACATCGACTTACATGACGCCAGCAGCAGCAAAATATTGTGAGAGAGACAGACAGAGAGAGAGAGAGAGAGAGAGAGAGAGAGAGAGAGAGAGAGAGAGAGAGAGAGAATGTCTCCGTAGAGGTCTGATAAAGAGTTAATGCCTAAAGCCTAAATGTAGTTTACATGGAATTTACATGTGCGGGGTGTGGAGAGACAGAAGAACTGAACGATCACCAAGTCTAGATTCGAAACACATTAATCATAAAAAAATAGAAGCAACAGCTGAACTTTCGGGTCTTGTTATATTTGTTCAGCAGCATTTATAGTCGACAAAGAAAATATAATTCATACTTACAAACGGATACTAAATCGGTGTAATCTGCATGACGTCTTCCATGAAATGTTTCCCTGATGAAGATTGTATGAAATTGTTATTTGTTTGCTCGTAACAAATGTGGAATAAAAACAGGCATGCGTATTAATTATTAAACTGCTAAATTAATTAAAATAATTTTCGCAAAAGTACTATGTTAAACAATTTCTAGGTACGATTTTCGTAGATCTGTGAATTTTCGAAAATTGCAAAAGTTACAAACAAATCAAGTAAGTATAATTTGTTCTTGTAACATCACTACTTAAAGCCCATAATAAAACGAGTTGCTTAATCTACTCTCTTCTCCGTCCGTGGTGGATAGCATATTCATCGAAGCAAAATCATAGAAAAATCATACTTGCAATTCGTTTACCGATGCAAATAAGTTTTCTATAACTCGGGAACAAAAATGTCTATTTTTTTTCCAAATATTGGTAATCTTGCGCTTTGTTAAAACTTATTTTTATTCATTGATTTATTTTAAACTTTCTCATCTTTTAAGTATTTATAGTTGAAATGATGGAAAGGGTTTCTGGAACTCAGTTTTTACTTTTTCTTAACTAAATAAATCTAAGCCTCTACGGAATTTTGCCACTTCGCTGCTTGACGCATTTTCCTTCACTCTGGAAATCCTTTTTTCGTCTTGATTGTAATAAACTACTACGATGATTTCGTAATACTCGGTATGATCCCCTCTACCTACTTACCACCAACAGCACGTCCTACACTGTTTGCAGTCTGCCAGTTTTTGAGAAAATTAATGCGATATTTGTCCCTTACGACGTAGAGCGTATGAGGAAAAATTATGAAGCAGCGTGTTGAAGCTTGGGCAAACAAGATGTGAATGCTGCATCACCACATCTCTCCTTGTCGGCAACGTTCTGGAGAAACTCTACACATCAGTCAT